TCAGTTGAGATTTTTACTTAGATCAAGCTCAACAGTCTGTCATGCAGGTTTACTGATAAAAATTCTGTGCAGTCATCCAGCACAACCGATCTCACATAACTGAATCTCATCTGGAAACTTTACTTGCACAACCACTTACATTGCATTGACATTATAGCTATGTTTTCAGCGGATAAGTAGTTGTCCCTGTGACTAATGGACTGACCTTTATCTGTGGAGACTTAAATCTGAGAAAGCATTCATGTTGTACTCACTACTTCCCCTGTGTTTGCTCTCAGGTTTAATGTGAATCTCAGCCATCACTCTGGCGTCGCTCTGCATTACAATCCACGTTTCAACGAGAACATTGTTGTTCGAAACTCCAAGCAGGGGCAGCAGTGGGGCTCCGAGGAGCGCAACGGAGGGATGCCCTTCCATCGGGGACAGCCTTTCACGGTACCAATGCAATACTTCACCCAGACCCAGTGGAGTGTTACATTAGGCTCGCATTTTATTACAGTACATCATTTTGCACACACACACATAGACACACACACACACACACACACACACACACACACACACACACACACACACACACACACACACACACACACACACACGACATCTAAAGGTTAATGTCTGAATTCTATAGTACATTTCTGAAATTAAAAACTGAAGATAAAAGTCAGTTTGAGTTATTTGCATAATTTGTGACTAAATGAAAAATTCTGCAAAAATGAAAGTATAGTACAGTGCCATCAGATATGTCCATTTAGAATTCTGACTTTGTTCTTTTTTGCTCCATTGCTATACACTAAATCTAAGTAAGTAAAGCTTTATTTATGAAGCATTTTTAAAAACATATGGTTACCAAGTGCTTCACACACACACATACACAAAATATAATAAAACAAGAAGAAAAGATTGAATTACAAAATGAAACAGAGCAACAACAGATAGACCAAACAATAACACGCAATAATACAAAAACAAATAGATAAAAAGGCTTGCCTATAGAGATGGGTTTTAAGGAGTCGTCCAAAGATCTCAGCAAATGTAAATGATCGGGGAAGATGATTCCCAAAGGTCTGTACTAAAACAGTAAAGACATAGTCACGTTATGTTTTGTAGTTGGAGAAACACAAAGACAGTTCAACAAAAAGTGAAAGAGAAGAGAGAAAACAAACAAACAATAACGCACAAGGTGACTTGAAATGGTTCGTATATATGAAGAACGAGAAGGATGAAGACAGTCATAATAAATGTAATAATGATGGTGACATGATGCAATTAGTGCAATTTGAAGGGATGTTTCAGCTGTTATTTGAAACATATGTTTTGTATGATTGTGAGTATGGGAGAGCACAGAAAGGTATAATAATAATAATAATAATAATAATAGCAATATAATATATTCTGATTTTATTTGGCATCTCAAATATATACATGAATATTCAAAATACTGTGACAAATTCATACATATTCATTAACATTTTAATTTAGAAAACTACTACTAATACAACTGCTAGTGATATTGTTAATATTGTTGTTGTTATTATTATTATTATTATGGGGGGGTCTTGAGGTCACCAGCAGTCCAGTACAGTAGTCTTCCCTCTTCCCACTACTTCCCACTTGAGCCTGAGGTGTCTTAAAGCCCCGATGTGTGGAACTTTGGCGCCTCCTAGTGGTAGCATGAGAACGCTATCAGGGAGGGTCCTCAGATATGTGATTTTAAAATGGCCCTTTTTTTCTTTCAGCTCACCATCTGTTGTGAGAATAACGCCTTCAGGATTGTGGCCAATGGGATGCAGGCACACACCTTTAAGCACCGTTTCACTCCTCTCCAACACATTACCCTCCTGGAGATTGACGGTGACATCAGTCTGACCTCTGTGATGGTGTAGAGATCCAGAACCAGTCGCTGGTCATCTTACACATAGCATGGTTTCAATAATTACAACCATTGCATTTATTCACAAATTCATGATAACCGATTACTTTTATAAGATATTGTTTGTTTCTCTCCTGTGTATTCAGTTAACCACTCTCATTTTTATATTACTGCATGCTATACATTTCCTGAAAACTTTGTTTCTTAAAGGAAAAATGTTAAAAAAGTTAAATTCAATCAGGTTGAATTTAGTAGTATGAAGTTTGTCCACAGGTAGTAAAGGTAGTGAAATGCTGAATTAAAACATACTGTGACAGAATATGCAACATTGTAATGGTTTCTTTCCTACTAGAACCTGATTAAACAAGAAAAGGAACAATTCAACTACTTAACATACTATGGACAAATATACTTCCACTGTACAAAAATGAAGCCAAAATATCCTGGATATTCTGCCATCTTTCCCCACTCGGAGCCAGAGTCTAGGCAGTAATGATCATGGTTGGTGCCGAGGTATTGAAGTCCCGCCCATACGCCCAGCCAACTCAGTGTCGAGCAGGGCTCAGCTGTCAATCATGATGTGAAATCCCCTTTTTATAGCTTCAAATAGCTAATTAAAACCAAAAAATAAATAAATTAACACTTGAACATACATCAGCGTGATATGAAACTACCTAAAATCCCCAAAAACATATTTTAGAAAAATGTATTTGACGTGTACTTTGATTATTTAGTTTGTCCCATCTGCTGACATGGAGGCAGCAGGTTTTATGACCAATATTGCAGTCAGCCACCGAGGGCGATTGAGATGTTTTGGCTTCACTTTCTCCATCTTCATATATGTTGATTGTTGATACCTACATTTTATGAACATAATCTGAATACCTTAAAATCCAGAGGTGGCAAAAGTACACTCATTCTTTACTCAAGTAGAAATATAATACTTGTTAAAAAAAGACTAGTAGAAGTAGAAGTACTCAAGTAAAAGTGAGCAAGTACAGGCTCTGAAATGTACTATAAAAGTCAAAAGTACTTTCTTGGTTTCTCTGAAGGACATTTCTACCGACTGTTTCTGTGCAAAGCTAACTGACACTTCAAACAGTGTCTTGTCTTCCTCTCCTGTCTGTTTCATCATGTTACGTCTGTCATGTGTGCACCGGTCTGGATGTTCGGAAGACATGCAATGATGCCAAAAATAATCTAGAATTCTCCTCAAATGCATTAAAACTAACGTAATGAGCCTGTTTTGAAAGTGTAAGGAGTAGAAAGTACAGATATTTGTGTAAAAATGTAGGAAGTAAAAGTGTGAAAATAAATACTCAAGTAAAGTATAGATACTGGAAGAAACTATTTAAGTACAGGAATTAAGTATCTGTACATCCCACCTCGGCTCATAATGCACTACAACTAGATAAATATATTTTCCTGTATTTCTTTATATCATAATGTAAAAACAAGACTAAACAGTGGGGCACAGCAAGATTTTAAGATGAATGCCAACACATCTTAGTTTAGTGTGTTAGCATTCTAACATTTGCTAAAGGCTGATGGGAATGTCATTAGGTTTGCAGTAATTATTTTTCATAATCCAAAGTATTGATGCCAAAGTAATTACAGTTCTCGCTGAGGGGAACATGAATTCTATTCTAATTCCATGGCAAGGCATCTAGTAAGACGCGTTCAGACATTTTCTTCAAAGCTACAAATGTCAACCTCATGGTGGTGCTAGAGGGAAAGTCAGGAGATCACCGAAGTCTTTAGGATGCATCAAGAATGTGTGTAAAACATTTTGTGCCACCACATTGAGTAACAGCAGAGATTTTTCAGAAGATACAGTAAGATAGTACTGTCCTGCTGGTGGAGCTGCAGGACATTTCACTGAAGTCATTAACTCATCCTGATCAGATGCCCAAACCAACTCTTCTTTGTCTTCTTTCGACACAAATGGGCAGTGGCCCTACTCCAAGCTCATTCTTGATGTCTGAGCCCTTTACTCTGTCTGTAAGGGCGAGCCCAGCCAACTTACAGAGGAAACTCTTTTAGACTGGCCATTTTCCACAATCTCATTCTTTCAGCCCCTATCCAAAGCTTGTTGCCTTCTGGCTCAGCTCCCTCTTCACCACAATGTCCCAGTACAATGCCCCGATAACTTGCTGATGGTGCACCAATCACCTGTCCATCTGAAGCTCCATTTTACCCTGACTTGAGATTGACACTTGGACTACAACAGTATACCCGGAGGAAGCTCAGGTCCACAAACCATGGCTCAGCAAATTGAGGGCCAAAAGAATCAATTGGGTTCTTGCTCATTCGTCCGACAAGTGCACTGTTGTAGCAGCACATATCGGTAGAAACCAACAGTGAGCAAGAGCAGTGTCCTTTTATTGGTCTACACAACCAGAACACCTTTTGAGCTGTGATATCTTGTACAAAAATGTGTTGCACTTAACATGTTTGAACCATCTCTCTAACTGAATTCCCAGGGTGCTCTGCAGTTTTCAGACCCAGACCTTTCCTTCCAGGAAGATTGCAGCAGGTTAGGTTGTATCCTCTTTGTAATTTTGTTAGTAAGTAAAAAAAAAGAAAGAAGGGCAGACTGAACATCTCTACCAACTGGTAGAGGCTCGTAATTAAAACACTATGTTCACTTGAAAAGAAAAAAATAGATTTTTGTTGTTATAGCCCAAAGCTACGAAGAAGTGTAAAAGCCAATTTTTTCTATAGTTTCATAGTGGAATATGAAAGTATTTGGGCCCACAAGGGGAACCGGGCAGTGATCTACACAACTACATTGGTGGTTGAGATCAAAATGGAGTAGATGTCTTAACATGCCCGTCATCCAGATAACACTCAAAGAACGAGAGTCTATCGGGGTCCAATGCAACCTACATTCCTCTCAACATTTCATAAAGCTGCTTCCAAGAGAATCTGTAGCTAAAATGTTCATTAGCTAGCCTCACAAGGCAAATGGCTTGCTTCAGCAGTGACTATCGTGCCTGAAGGGGCGATCTTTTACATCCACAGCTGAGACTTGGGTGGGTAAGAATGTCTTTTTTTTTTACCTATGCTGCCTGGATAACAGTGAGATTTCAGTTTTGTGATGTAGTAAATCAGCATACCAAGCTTACGTCATGAATTGTTTATTAATGTTGATTACGTGGTTTCTTCTCAAAAAACATGAAATCAATGAGGAAGCAGGCTCCTACCATCACAGCCTTTATCTTTACATCCAGGTCCATTGGAAATGAGATCCCGAAGTTATCTGCATCTGTGAAGCCTTCCTGCATGAACCCACCCCACTGCTTACTGATCTGTCCCACCACAGCTGACTCATCCAAAGACATCACCTCAAAGATGACGTCAGACATGCAGCTACAGTCACACCATTGCCCCTTGATCTTCAGCTGGGGACTCCTCATCTCATTCAGGATGGTGAACTTGGGCAAACCAGGGTGCCAATTCTGCTCCACGTAGCCGATGGGGTTCCCAGGAGGGCTGTGCACCTCCAGCTCCTGAAGGCAGCAAGGGAAACAACACATGGTGCACCTTAGGGGGCGAATCACGGTCAAGACTTCCTGTCCAATGTTATCATGGAGGTGAATGGTGAAGGGTCTACCGGGGCCACATGCCTGCATGGTGAAGATGTCATTTTCCTCTGTGGCCACAAACACCTGCTGCCCCATACTATTTTTTACTGTGTAAACATTGTTCATCTCCCAGCCAATAGCAATTTCAGCCATTTCAACCCTCTGATGGACCAGGAGCTGACTGGTCTGAGTCAGGTACTCCAGTCCAGGTGGGCAGCCCACAGGTCGGCCAGGTGTGGGCATCATCATTGGAGCAGTAGGCAGTGTGTATGGTGGACGATCTGCTGCTCCGTGGCCCACTGGAGCTGAATATACTGCATTATGACCAGACTGCATCCCAACATAGTACACTGGGTCCTGAGGCAGTGGTCCTGTAGTTCCCTGATAAGCCATGATGTAAATCTACCTGTTGATGCCAAACATAAATTATATAATTGAGTACACTGTATCTTTTTATATATATTTTGCTCAGTTAAAGGTCCGCTGTGTAGGATTTAGTGATATCTAGCGGCGTAGTTGCAGATTGCAACTTCCTTGCTTTACCCTCTCCTTCAAAAAAAAAGTAGAAAGTACTGTGGCTGCCAAATGTGCATAAAATGCTTCTATCAAAAGGCAGTTTTTGGATTGTCACTTCTGGGCTACTGTAGAAACATGGTGGTTCAACATGGCAGACTCCATGGAAGACAACCTGTGGTGTCTGTAGATACATTTTTATTGCCAGTTTCGAGTTTAGTTGCCACTGTAGTTTTCTCCTAAATAAACTAATTTATGTTTGGCATGGTTGCAATCTGTAACTTCACCACTGGATGCCGCTAAATCCTACACCCTGGTCCTTTAAGTTTGCTTTAAAGATATATTTTACATTAAGGGACATTTACCTATCCAGTTTCTTTCCAAGAGTTAGACGAGAAGATTGATACCACTCTTGTGCCTGTTCAGGAGGGGATTAACCTAGCCTAGCATAAAGACTGAAAGCAAGATGAAACCAAAGGACAGGTTCACAAATTATGTTAAATTAGTTTGAACTTACATAATCTAAGCATTCTACTCAGTTGAACAGCTCATAGTGATACTATGAAAGATTCAGTCTACACTTTAAGTATAGAAGTATTCAACTTTTTACACAGATTGTTCATTTCCTGCCATCACATTTTAAATGCTGTTTAAATCTCAAACAAAGCCCCCAAATGAAGATATTTGAACTCAAAGACATACATTAGTACTCACTGACGCCTACAAAAAATATATAGTATGTGCAGAATTGTATATAATAACAACATTGGACTGTCCTAACATTTGCAGCATCATCATTAAGTAAAAATAATTTCTCATACACTGCATGCTAGAGAACTACTACATATGTTGATAAGAATTGCTACCCACCACATGTGTGTTTTCATAAGACGACGTCTCCTGCTTGCTAGACAACAGATGTGTGATATGTGAGATGTTTTGTAGCGACGCTTTAGCAACTCCTTAGCAACAGGTTGTTGTTCTTTTAGCAGAGGTAGAGTGGAGTCAGGTTGCCCCTTTTGAGGATCCTCCCTCACTGTGATGAGTTAACAGACCCTGTTCTCTCAGGACTTTATCATTTTGTCATGTTACTATTGGAAAAGCACATGTGTAAATAGGTTCAGTGATGTGAAAAAGGCCTATTGTCATCATGTTCACTGAGTAATTCATAATGGTATTAACAATTACAAATATCAGTTGTAGCCCGACTCCCCACGCAGTTCTATGGTACAGGGAATACAGATGCTGCTATTTAATTTTCCCATGTCAACATTCCTCTGAGTGGATTAAAGGATATTAAGATCACCTGTTACGCCAAAGGTGGGGACTGACTCTTCAGTAAAGATGGAGAGCAGCTTGGTGATTCCCCTCTGAGCCAATCAGCGTGTGACGACACCCATGAAGACATAAGAGAGGTTGGGAACTGCACACCCGGGGGCATTCTGATCCCTCCTCTATTTGGTGCAGAACTCGTGTTATGAGAAATAGTCAGCCTGAAACTTCTTTAGCACCCACTGAGATTTCTTTTCTGTCTTTCTTGTCATTAAAAGTGATAGAGTATGCTGTAACTGAACACAGAGTAAACATAGAACCCCTTAGTGCCTGTACCTGTGTCTGTGGTGTAATTAGTGCAAGAGTTTCCTTTCCTCACAGTTACTGTGTGTAAGTAGGCTTACTTATGTATGTTTATTGGTTGGTTTTCTTTAAGGCCCCTTAAGTCATAAAAATTGCTCTGTTGGGTGTGATTACTTTGAAAGATTAATAAATACAATTACGTTGCGATTTTGTCTGGATCTGGATTACTTTAAAATGGGTGCCCGGTTAGCTCAGTGGGTAGAGCTGGCGACCCATGTTCTGAGGCCAAGTCCTTTCTGCAGTGGCTCAGGGTTTGAATCCGAGCTGTGGCCCTTTGCTGTGTGTCATCCCCACTCTCTGCCCCCCTTTCCTGTCTATCTTCGGCTGACCCTATCAAATAAAGGCAATAAAAAGGCCAGAAAAAAAAAAACTAAATCAAAAAAAAAATCTAATGTATATTGCACCTTCATATTAAAATTAACTATAATGTAATTACAATTTTTTTCAAATGTAACATGGGTTTATTATAGTTAGGATGCTTACTTTTTGTAATCTGATTATGTAAACCCAATTACATGTAATCTGCTACTACCAAACATGGCTGCTCCCATGCTCTACACTGGTGGTTCCCAACCACTACAGGTCGCCAAAGCCGTCTTGATTTTAAGGTGTGTAAGAAAACTTTCAAAAAGAGTAGGCCTATATCTCAGCATTTTATTAATTTCTGTGAAGAAAACAAAATGAAATTGTTATTTTTAAAGTTTAGATTATTATTTAAGGTATACACTTAAGACAGCCTCATCCTGTATTAGAAAAGTTAAAACCACTGAAGAGCTAGAAGAACAATGGCCAAGCTTCAGGGATGGGTGCGGATCCAGAGGGGTGGCACAACACATTCATTTAGATTACTTTTACAAATCATATAAATTAATACATATAATTTAATGATCTGTTATGGCCAAATTTTAGAATATGTGATCAATGAAAAAGGGCTTGTATTTGGACAAATGTCTGAATATTTGGAAATAAAATAATTTATTGATTTAATGCCACCTTCAGATATTTCTATATTTGCTATTGTGCCACAATAATGTAATGTTTGTTCAAATATCTTCATTTGGAGGCCTTTCCAAGCAAGTATTGATATGAGATTGTTTTTGATTCAATCAGTATATATTTCTGCCACTCCTTAAATACTCCATGCCACCCACTGGACACCCCATTAATATTTCTGTAGACCCGCCCCTGGTCTGGGAGAAGAAAACACTGAATTTGAATTAACAAAAAAGCACAGACAGAGAATTGTATTAAAGTTCCAAAAAATATGAGGAAAACTCATATGTTATATCAATATCAATATTCACGGGAAATAATCTGCTCAAAATTCCTCCTAATCTACGGTACACAAACTTCCTGCAGTTATTGTGTTCACTGTTTGGGTTCATTGTACAGTTTATCAGATGTTCTCTACTGTTATTGTTGTCCACTGAATATAATATGAAATATCCATAAAACATTTCGCTGAGTCAGTTCACCCAGTGATAGAGAGGGGTCCCTTAAGGAGAAAGGTTGGGAACCAATGCTGTATACAGCGGTGCAGCAGTCAGGCTGTAGCATCAGTGTTTGTCCAGCAGGGGTCGCTGGTTGACCGCCTGTCGCTGTTGTACTGAACCTTTCCAGCCCGCTTTGATAACGTAGCTAAAAGCCAGCCTGCGGCTTCTGTTCCCTACGAGCCGTGCTGCGCCCACTAACCAGCGGTGCAACATTTGCTTTCCTGGAGAACAGTGAGTATTCCTTCATATCAGAATGAATTGTGTGCTTACAGTGAGGGAACACTTTGTTTGAAGGCGGCAGTTTTGAGGCAGGCGGTCAGTCGGGCTCACCGGATCAGTTTCACAGATCCCAGTGTTTTGTTCCAGGGTTTGCTTCACCAAAAATGAGGGCAAAGAACTAAGGGCTGTGACTTGAGCCAATTAGGCTAGTTAGCTAGCTGTACTGCTAACTGGAAAGTAAAAAAAACCTGTAATGAATTATTGTTGGGTTGTGCCTGCAGAGCTTTTTCATTCGCAGTAGAATAAAAACGCGACATATGTGTTATTAGGTAACGTTGCTCCCACCTACTGTACCAAACAGTAGCCCAGCTAGCTAATGTAGCCGAAGAGCTACACCTAGTTTAGCTATGTCATGCTTTTTGTCCCCTGACTACACTGAATGCGGAGTGGGCTGATAAATGGAGCTCTGTGTACGTTACAGTGCCAGGTGTGGGCATCGTTTGAACCTCCTCAGCGGCTGAGCACATAAACAGGAGAGCATTGAACAGTAGCTGCTGGTTATTGTAGGATGAAGGTATGGAAGCCCGTTTCCGCCAATGTGACAAAAAAGATTCTCTAAGTCATTATAAAGAGAAACGTCTCAATACTTTGACTTGGTAATGACATCGGATCACAAAGTCAATATTTTGAGGTTTCTCATTATAATGACTTACTGAATCCTTTTTTCCATCACATTGGCGGAAATGGGCTTCCATATGAAAATAGCGCTAATGTTGATTCATCTGTGGCCCTTTCACTGTGGCCCTTTCACTGTGGCCCTGCATATATCGAAGATTACAGTTAACCCGTTAACTCCTCACGACTGCATTTAGTATTGTTGTCGAATTTGTTCTGTTAGTGGTGGAAACTGTGAAGACATGAAATTAAAAATGTTTGATTTCACATTTTTATTATATTAGACAATGGTGATTTTCTTTGAAAAATAACATTCACTGGAGTTGTTCTTCTTGACATAACTCCTTGTACTAAATGAGATACAGCCATATTTCTGTCGTACTATATTTAGTTAGTCACAACTCATTTAACCCATAAGAATACATTATAAAATGTCTCTTAAAGGTCCAGTGTGTAACATTTAGGAGGCTCTGTTGTCAGAAATGGAAAATAATATTCATAGCTCTGTTTTCATTCATGTATAATCACCTGAACATTGGAATCACTGTTTTTGTTATCTTAGAATAGGGCTGCACAATTAGTTTAGACAGCATTTTAATGAAGTACTTTTATCACATTGTGCAGCCCTGGCTTCTACAGTAGCCCAGAAGGGACAAACCAAACACTGGTTCTAGATTGTTACCCCCAGAGAAATGAGGGACTTTTGCTTTACACCGCTGGATGCCACTAAATCTTAAATACTGGTCTTGGAAGTGGAAAACTTCCACTGTGGACTTGAATGGGTTAATGACCTTTTAGGAAACTTTTTGGTGTTCTGGCAAATTGGTTTGGAGATAATCCACTGGCCAGCACTATGTTTGTTTTGTAGTCTCGGTGACTCTGCTTTTACTCTGTTATTATCTGTGTGTTTGCAGTGCAGTTACCACTTCCAGGCACAGATTAGACTTTCATAACACCTGAATGACATTTCTAGCCAATAGGAGAGATGCGTGCCCAATATTAGCGATGCCATAATTAAAGCAGGAGGCGGTTGTTTGTTTGGGACTCCAGCCTGTGCCGCCCTGTGGAGAGAGGAGTCTGTGTGTCACTCAGCAGCTGATGAGAAGCAGGCTGAAGGATGTGTGTCTGCCTGTCTGCCTGTGTCAGAGCCCCTGATTTTTGAGGTTTTGGAGAGACCCAGTTAAACATGAAGCCAGGAATGTGTTTTGGTCCTGCCAAGCTCCTCCAGTGGGCCTCTGTAATGTAAGAGTGTTGGAGGTCCTCAGTGATGTAGGTCTGTATTTTACACATGTGGACAGTTACAGCAAGCCATGAGACTCGGGCAGACGTTTGGATGCCCACTTGAGAGAAACATGATGTTCTTGCTTGATCTCACTCTTATGCTGTTTTATTTACTCACAAAGTATGCAATGGGCTGTCACAATGGGATGTTGGCTGTTTTATATGGTTGCCACTTATTTTAGTAGTTATTGTCCCTGTTAACAATTCTATATCATACAGTATATATCTTAAATGGTGTCATTACCTTACAGTCCAGAGAGACAATGACTTTCTGACTGTTTCACCTGATGGGCCCAGTGTATAACATTTAGGAGGATCTATGGTCAGAAATGGAATATAATATTCATAGGTATGTTGATTAGTGTTTAATCACCTGAATATGAGCTGCTTTAATCTACAGACAACATGTTGAACTGCCATGTTTCTACTGTAGTCCAGAATAGACAAACCAAACACTGGCTGTAGATAGGAGCGTTTTTAGCCACTGCATTTTTTCCTTTGAACTTGGAAGTCGAGGTTGAAGCAAGGGGGTTGCGATCTGTAACTACACTGTTAGATCTGCTAAATGCCATCATATCCTAGACAGTGGTCCTTTAAAGATCTCCTCAAGACATGTGTTAATACATATATACAAAAAGTTTGCTTGGATAATAATGTGTGTCTGTTATTTCTGCAAAAAAGTTGTCAGTGTTGTCCATCTTCACATGAAAATCAAGGACACTTTTTCATTCATATGTAGTATTTTGTGATTATGACAGAGTTTTCTCTCCCTGTCTCTCTCTCCAGGGGATTTGTCCCTGTTGGTCACAACAAAAGCACCAGACGAGTGAACTGGACGTGCAGCTCTGTAGGGAAACGCAGCCTTTAGCTTGTCACCATGTTTAATCTGATGAAAAAGGATAAGGAGAGGGAAGGGAGTCGGAAGGAGAAGAAGGATAAAAAGGAGAGGATGTCTGCAGCCGAGCTGCGCAGCCTGGAAGAGATGAGCATGCGGCGCGGTTTCTTCAACCTCAAGAGGGAGGCCAAGCGTGAGTCCAAGAACAAACTGGAGATCTCCAACCCTATTCCAATCAAAGTGGCCAGCAGCAACGAGCTCACCCTCACTGACATCGAGTCGGATGGCTTGAGTAACCGCAGCAGCATGGTTCTGGACGACCAGCTGAGCGCCGCCAGCTCCACTGATGATCTGAAGGGCGAGGGCGGAGGAGGACAGGATGGACACCGCGGCTCAGTGCGTGACCGTGTGGCTCACTTTGGTTCGCTTGCCAAGCAAAACTCATCGCAGATGGGTCAGATGATGAAGCGCTTCTCCTTTTCCCAGAGGAGCAAAGAGGAGAGCCCTTCAGAGGGCTCCACCCCCTCAGGCCAGAACTCTGCTGCCCCATCCCCGCAGGTGGAGAGCAAAGTTTTCAGCATGCTCCGCAAGCACAGTCTCAAGCAGCAGGCCGAAGCACCGGCCACCAAAAAGGTCTGCATCCCCGAAGTGGTTGACAAGACCTTCCCTGCGCAACTGCAGCTGCCGGCCGTTGTCGCGCCGAGCGCACCGGAAACACGCGAGCTGGAGCTCCAACGCCGCAACACTGGCGACTTTGGATTTTCTTTGCGTCGCACCACTATGTTGGACCGCAGCCCTGACGGAGGAGTGTACAGGCGCGTGGTCCACTTTGCTGAGCCTGGAGCCGGCACCAAGGATCTGGCACTGGGACTGGTGCCTGGCGACCGGCTGGTGGAGATAAATGGACGGAATGTGGAGAACAAGAGCCGGGATGAGATAGTGGAGATGATCCGTCAGTCGGGAGACACGGTGAGGCTGAAGGTCCAGCCCATCCTGGAGCTGAGCGAGCTGAGCCGCTGCTGGCTGAGAAACACAGAGGGCCAGCGCAGGGAGGCCAGACATGTAAGTAGCTTGTACAAACAGATGAAGGTCACCGTCACTATCTTTGCCACTATGTTTCGATATCTTGGTCTTTCAGTCAAAAACTTTCACTTTGTGCCCAGTGTCAGAAACTTTTTTACAGGAACATTTATATATAAACAGCAATGTCCCACATTCTCAGGGTGCAGGATTTGTCTGCTTTGTTGACAATCTGTTCCTAAGACAACATAAAGTGTGTGTTCATGAGGTGGCAGGAGATGCCAGTAAAGTTACTACTTGTGCCTCTTATTGGTTTGAAAAGAAAGCTGCAGGAATGAACTGAATTGAATGAATAGTATGGTTCTATGAGTATCCAGAAGAACTGTGCTTTCTTCGCCAAGATGGCGCATTTCTTTTTACCTTCGTGTAAATTCTGTGAAGATTTCTTCACTTACCTGAATAAAATGTCTAGTTTAGAAATCTTCCAACTGAAACATCCTTGTCAGTAAATGGAGACCTTGTTTTTGCAGTGACGTCTAAGGCTGGATATTGGCAGTATATACTGTAACCAGAACAGTGGGATCTGCATTTGTATTTCTCACAGTCCCTGTCGCATCCTACATCATAGCCCTCTGTTTAGAACACTGCTATCTAGTTGTTGGGAGTTTAAACACAAAAATCATTACAGTGTGTTTGGGAATTCATACAATATCACAAAACCAAATATTGCGATATGATATTTTGTGATATTTTCTTATAGGAACGTCAGCATTCTGTCACAGGCAGAGCAGACGGCACACAGCAGCTACACCACACTAAAGCCACAGACTGAAACAACAACCCACACTAGCTTTCCTGCTCAACTCCTACTCATCCAACTTCCAAACATGAGCATGCGTCTTGTTCTTTACCTCCACTTGTCGAACAAGTGACCAACAAACATCCGCCGGGGAAAAGGGCACTGCTAACATCAGTTTACAAGCTAGATAGCTAATTAGCTGCTCAACTGCAATGATGAACATTTTCTGTCAACAGAGCATCAACTCTTCCAAACTATTACCTGTCCACACCTTCTCACAATTTTGCAAGTGCAAAACTCTAGCAGATTAAGTCTCAACTAGCAGATTACCTGCAAATTGATCATAACTGTGTCCCACATTCTCAGGGGTGTTTGGGTTCTGCTTGACAGAGTCAAGTGCTTTTACAGTCATAACTAATGGCCTGATCATGATGTGGGAGATGGTGCTTGCTGTAGGCAAGTTGTGTTTGAAGAGTTTTGTTGCCCATTTTAGCACTTCTATGTAGAGTCTGTATCCTATTGTTCTGTGTGCTCTGTCAGTGATCACCCACACATATCTGCTCTGACACTGAAAAGTCCTGCCTCTTTTAAACGTTATGCAACAGGTACACAGCACTAACCCTGCAAACCTGACATACTATGTCTGTATGTGTGTGTGTGTGTGTGTGTGTGTTCTTTCCACAGTCCAAACACATGCAGGTTAGGTGGCCAGGTGATCTGTGCTTTTAATTTCACTGATTTATTTCATTGAACGTTTTGGCTGACAGACAGTTAGATGCTGCTTTGAGTTTGGCGGTTTAGTAGTGAAGCATCTGCTGCTCTTGCAGATTGTTACATCCCTGTCCTACTCCACTGACTGATTGACTCCTCCTCACGGTGCATTAAAGGCTCATTGTTTCCTGTGTAAAATGTCACACATCTGACCACACCTAAATCATTCTTGTCACAATTAATTACCATCAGCTGACCAACGCCTGCTGTGACCTCACGGATGAGGGTGTGGCGACATGACATGTTTGCAAGTTTCAGCTTATAAAGAGCACTAACTCAGCAGCAGAGAGAAACAGGCCTTCAGTTTGTCCTGTTCCCCCTGTTAATGTAAACCCAACACTTCTCCATGTTAATCTGTAGTGTTGATAGATTCTGCATGATGTACATTAACACACTACTAATTGTGTCATACTCCCTACTCTGCTGCTCTCACTTTCTCTTCTGTCACAGAAACACTGTTTTCACTCACTAATTATTTTCAGTCGTGTCTACTCTTATCTATTTTTGATCTGTTAAAGGTCCAGTGTGTAACATTTAAGACGATATATTGTCAGAAATGGAATATAATATTCATAGGTATGTTTTCATTCGTGTATAATCAATATAAAAATGGTTGTGTTTTTGTTACCTTAGAATGAGCTCTTGTACAGAGTCTGCCATGTTAAACTAGCATGTAGCCCAGAACGTACAAACCAAACACTGGCTCTAGATAGGACCTTCACTGTGGTCAACATAGTTTCTCCTAAACACTTGGAAGGTGAGCATTATTAGTTTGTTGCCATCTGCCAGTTCACTGCTAGATGCCACCAAATCTTACACAATCCCTGTGGAGATCACATTAAATGTCATCCAGTGGCTCAATTGTCCCTGGCTTTCATTGTGAAAATCTCCAGGAAATGTTAAAATGTAGCAGCGATTGAATATAAATTGTGATTGAAATTAACAAGTGAATGAAACATTTATTTCAAAAATAACTATATTTTGTATAAGATTACTTATACTACTGACACTATACATTAAGATTACTTATACTACTGACACTATACATTAGTGTCAGTAGTATAAGTAATCTGCTGCAACCTGGGTTATTGCTATAGCAATTTTTTTGCTGTTATCGTCTAATAGCGTCTAACATGCACCGAAAACGTCTTAAAATGTAATAGCTACAGATACATTTTAATTTCATTGAGTGTTTTGGCTCAAGATGGCTTTATTTGGGTCTATGTGACAGACAAATAGGCTAGCTGGTTGAATTTGGCAGGTACTGTAGTAAAGTGTCTTCTAGAAAACAAAGCACATGCAGGTTGTTGCAGAGTCCCAGTCTGACTCTGGGTTTTGGACTGTCGGTCAGACTATACAAGTAATTTTTCACCAAAGTCTGAACAATTTTCTGATTGATCAATCAATTAATCACATATAGAATAACCTAGTATTGAAACAGTCTTAGAGGTCCTTACAATTGTACTCTGAGTGTGTAGATATCCTGCATTAACAGTAGCTCAGTGTCCTCTAGTAGGACTTTGTTTGTTTGCCTCCATTGGCTTTGGTTCAAGGGTCCTTGTGACATAGTCAGACTGAAAGGGACTCTGACTCCCCCCACACAATTGAATTCATCTGCTCTGGGAGGCAGGCAGTGGTTCTATGTAGCCCATGTTGTCCAGTGAGTGAGTGTGAGTCACTATGACTACTTTGTGTCATGTGAGGAACTGCTCTAATGATTTCCATGAAGCAAACAGGAAGTGCACACCGGAGGGAGCTTTGTTTTAAGTGTTTAGGTAATGTTGGTTCACACACACACACACACACACACACACACACACACACACACACACACACACACACACACACACACACACACACACACACAAATCAGCTGCAGAGGTAGGCTCATGAAGTTAAAAGGAAGGTGTGTGTGTGTGTGTGTGTGTGTGTGTGTGTGTATGTGTATGTGTGTGTGTGTGTGTGTGTTAAACAGCAGGCCTGACTGTGTCTCTTTGTCCAATTTAATGGATCTTACCAGCTTCACTACTGGTTTAAACAGCTGACAGAAGCGCCATCATTCAAGCTTTAAGAGGGACACTGCATCTTCCAGGTCCCATTACTCCCAACTCACTGCTGTTAGCTATTTTACATGGTTTTCTATTCCTGTTACAGCTCCCTGGGTATCTCTTGAAATGTTTCAATATTATTGCCAAAATGATACCTGAGTTTTGGTACAGATATGTAAAACAACACTTTGGTACCGATATATGTGAGAAATTTAAACCTGTTTTCCTACAGAACCTGTTATTTGAGCCATGTCTTGATCATGTTCTTCTGGCTTCGATCCTACCAAGTCCAATCTCCTCTGTGTTTGGGGCACTGCCGGTATTGTTATCTCACAGGAGGGCCACTGCAGCATTTCAGTACTACAAGAAAGCACAATTAAAAAAAGTGCAAATAGCAGTTTCTATACATTTTAGATCATCTTTGTTGTTCACAGCCAAATAACAAATTGAAGGGGAGAACCCTGCGCTATCCTCATTATCCCTTTACACTCATTTGCTGGCATTATTTAGCGCCAAACAAAATACATTTTTTAAATAAAGGGGTCATCTTGTGTTCCGACTTATTATTTGACATTGACATTAAGTTGCGTACCAGAGAAAGAGGGATGGAAGGCCAGAAACAGCAGTTTGGGATCCCTACGCTTAATCTCTACCTAAATACTGATTAAATATGAATCTGGCACACACTAGTTTTTTTTATAAGCTGCTTGATCCAAATACTCAGTTCAAATTGTTGACATGATAAGAATGAAAGTTCAGTGAGAGAGAATGGGACTTTTTTTTGACCCCCACTCGCCTCTCTGCTGGCCTTTTGTAAAGTGGAGAGTGGAGCTTCCTCCTTCACAAATGAGCTTTGGCAGAGTGCAGACACCGGCTGCAGATAGAACTTTAACCACGCAGTAGTTTCATTTTGGGCTGCCATCAAGTTACTCTCGGAATTAACATTAATTGGCCACAGCTGATGTGACCTGCCACCAGCGACATCTGTCTTTTCAAACGGTGAAAGCGACGGTAAACTGCAGGGTTAAACAGCGTTGTGTCAGTCCACCTAAAGCTGGTGCCATGAGTCTTCCACACAAACATGAACACATCAGGATTCACAGCAGACAGACAGGATGCACCTATTCTTTAAGCTGCAACTAGGAATGGCAGGATATTCTAAAATTAAAACTGTAGGATGTCTTGGGAAAAGGATAATAAGACGAATACTGGCTCGAGTTTAGCTAAGGCTAGGTGCACACTAAATTGGACAACTGATTTCCAAGAACTCTTTCAAAGTCAACGTTTCTGCTGATAAGCATTAAAGGATTGACTGATGGAGTACTTGTGTGAAAGAAATGAAGCAGGCCTGCTGTCTCTTTTTAAAATGAAAATGACTTACCAATACTCACGGTATACCAGGGTATCAAAATTGACAGTTATCA